CTCAAAGCGGTGCTGTTTGTGCCAGCCACCCTGCTGTGCTGCACTTGCCTTCCCTTGCTGGGGACACGTTTTCAGTGAGGCTGACCTGACTCTTGTCTTGCCAGCCAGCATGGTGGTTGTAGCCATGGCAAGTGCACGCAGCTGCCTGTCCTATCACTCCTGGTCATAGGTGCTTCTTTGTTTCTTTCATGGCTGGGCCAGGCTGATTCCTCTGCTAGTGTTGCACCCATGTTTGCCAGTTTCCCCCAGGAGAGTGCACCTGTTGAACTTTGGCCTCAGGATAGGCAGCGGTACCTGGGTATAGGTGCCCCTTCAGGGCCTGCCCCATACAGAGACTCCAGCTGGAAGAACAGCAGCAACTGCTGGAAGTGGCGTGCAGAAACTAAATGGCTGAGGAGGGAAGGGAGAGGCTGGGTGAGACATGGAAAAGACAAAGACCCAACAGCGTAAGCCAGTCAGTTTCTTCAGGACCTAGCTGGAGTTGGTCGGAAGTGAGGCAGTCTAGTTGCTGCTGCAGAGTGGCCGTTCCTCCTTCTCCAGGAAGTGTGAAATTGGAAGTGCCTCAGTTTTCCTCAGGGCTCTGGTGCCTGCAAGCTGGTTACATCTCCCAGGGCTTTTTTTCTGGGGGAACTGCCTCACCTTCCCTCAGGAAACGCGCCGGAACGGAGTTTCGGAACCTCTTCAACAAAATGATTTTAAAAACGCTTAAAAGTTCTTGAGATTTCAGTAGACAGACTGAAAACTTCATTTCCCTCTCGAGAGTTCTGGCACCTCTTTTTTTTAAAAAAACCAAACCCTGCATCTCCCTTTTGTGCCTGTGGCTCATTTCATGGAAAGACATTTGAGGTACAGGTGCCAGGAATGCTGCTATGGGCTGCTGTTCCTGCCCCCACCCCTCTGTAAATTGTTACGTGTGTGACACACTTCAGTGGGCATACATGCAATTCTATTCCAGCATAGAATTTTGTGAGTTCACTTCAGCAGCTGCACTGAAGTGTTCAGAGGCATGGATTCTCAAAGCTCGTGACAACAGAAAGGGGTGGGCAAGGTTACAAAGAGAAGCCTGTTTAAAACAATATCCAGTATACAGAGTTACCCCTGTTGCTCTTCCAAATCCACTGCTTGTTTGTTACTTTAGGAGGAGCATGAAGCTCCTCTTACCTCTAAAGTAGGGGCATGGACAGAATTCTGTTAAAGGGAACAGAAACGCCTTAGAAATTCTGTTTTTCATTAGCCCAAACTAGAGGCAGTCTATGGCATGTGAATAAAGGAGTGCAAAATATCAGCTGGTGAGTTAGATGTTTAAGTTGCATCCAGGATGTATTGAATTAGCTGTGTCCGCTTGCTCATGGGTTTGCCATCTGTTTACTGTCATGCTTTAATGTGCAAGAATATACAAATAATTGAAGAAGGGGCGGTGGCTTATTTCTCCCATTTCCGAATGGGTAATCGAAAACTGTCTTTCAGACACTGAACAAGATAGTTTCCACGGATCAGAGAACTGCATTCAGATCTCTGACAGGTTTACTCTTATCAGTGCAGTAATACTGTCCTTTTTCCATACAACCTTTAAATGAATAGTTTGATCCCATTGCATATCCTGTTCTTTCTCCTCAAGAAAAAAAAATGTCCCAGGGACCTTTCAACTTGTTCTAAACTGAGCTATTTCTTTTGTTCATGTAGTTAGCCGTGATCCTCTGCTTTTCACCTTATACTGAGCATCCAAATGAAGCAACAAAAGTCACTAGTTTTAAGTACTAAGGATACATTAATCCTTAGTACTTAAAAACTGACTGTAGTGTTAATGCAGTACTTCCGTATTTGATACATATTTATTTTATATTGTCTAACTTGTATTATTATTGTTGTCTGCCTTGGGCCTTTTTTGGCAGAAACGTGGCAATTGGCAGATTAAAAAAAATTGGAAAACACGGCTCTGCTACCTTAACTATATACTATACCATCAGAAAATTAACAGGTTTGCATATAGCTGGTGGACACAGACTCTTCCAGTTTGGTGTAGTGGTTAAGTGTGTGGACTCTAATCTGGGAGAACCGGGTTTGATTCCCCACTCCTCCACCTGCACCTTCTGATATGACCTTGGGTCAGTCACAAGCTCTGGCACAGCTGTCCTTGAAAAAGAGCAATCTGTGTCAGAGTTCTCTCAGCCCCACCCACCTCACAGGGTGTCTGTTGTGGGGAGGGGAAGGGAAAGGAGTTTGTAAGCCGCTCTGAGACTCCAAGTGAAGGGCGGGGTATAAATCCAATCTCTTCTCTTCTTCTTCTTCTAACTGCTGGACAACTAGGGTTAGGGCTTGTGGTGTGTCATTATTGGTAATGGCACTGTGTTTTAGTTGGCGGAGAGTAGAAAGAGGCGCCCGCTAACAAAAGCCGGGCTCCGGTTGACGCGGCAGTAGCCATGCGCCGAGGCGCGCCTAGGCTCACCTAGCCCCCACCCCACTCCGAAGCACGCCGCCTCTGCCTGGTGGGCGGGGCTTCTAGGAAATTTCGGTGGGGGCTCCAGCCCCGGAGCCCCCACGAAGATTACGCCGGTGCCAGAGTGTGCCTTTCAAAGCAGCCCTTTTCTCCAGGGGAACTGATCTCTGTTGTCTGGAGATTCCAGGTCCCACGTGGAGTTTGCAAGCCAAAGAGAGAGATCACGGGATGGAAGTTGAAAGGAAGCGAACAACCGTGACGTATAGTGCAAAAAAGGGGAGGGTGTTCTTCACCAACTTGTAAATCCTTTTTTTCAGTATTCGGTTTCAGTTTTCGGAAGCAATTCAAATGCCATCAACACCAGTGAACCATGCATATTACGTCTCGTTTCGTGTATACCTTTATCAAAGTGGGTAGTGTTGAAATACCTATATAATGTTAAACCATTTGGCAAACACTCTAGTCAAAGAAGACGGGGACGGCAAAGGATGAGATGGTTAGACAGTGTCATAGATGCAATGAACATGAAATTGAGCAAACTTCAGAGGACGGCTACATTGCGTTTATTTCAGGTGATGTTGCTGTTTTTTGGGGGGGAGATTGCCTCCCGATAGCCAGCTGGCTGGTGGTGGGCAGGAGCTTGTCCCCAACTGGAGAATGGCAACCATATCCCTTGTGAACCTGTCTGACTTCTATGGTCATTTTAGGAGGCCCTGCTTCAGGTGTCGCTGCCTTATATGATTAGGCTGGTGGCAACCCAGGAGAGGGCCTTCTTTGTGGTGGCACTAGAACTCTCTCACTGGAGAGATCCATCTGTCCCCTTCTGTTGCCATCTTCTGTCAATGAGTGAAGACTTTTTTTTTGTTTCATTTGGCATTCCCTCAGTGGACCCCTCCTTCCTGACTAGAATTTTAATAGCAGTTTTATGCCTTTATACATATTTTAACAGTATTTTAAGTTTGTTTTAGTGATATGTGTTGGGGTTGATTTTAATGATTTTAAAATACGATTTTAGTGTGTGTCTTTTAAGCTGTTAGCTGCCCTCGTGGCCCTTGTGGGGGCAGAAAGGTGGAATATAAATTTTGTTTAATAAACATTGTGATTTATATAAACTGTGATGTCCCATGTTTTAGATTAAATCCTTGAAAGATTACAATAGAACCAGGTTCAGTATGATTAAGCTAGTCTTCACTTGCCAGCATTTCCACTTGTCCATAAGCTTTTGTTCATACAGCTAGCGCTCTTATTGGCAGACAGAATTTACGGAATGGAGCCTTGACAGAGTTAATTGTGTTTCCTCCCATAAAGAAAAGATAGCATAGGCAGGTGCTGTATTTTAATTCCAGTTTTTGCAGGCTAGTTTGTTGTTGTTGATTAGAAGTGTGTCTTATTAGGGAGACTGTAGCCTGTTGGTGGGCAGACGACTCCCCTCTCTACTGAAAGAGAAAGCAGAGTAAGGAGGAAAAGTAGAGCAGTTGTTGTAAGAGGGACAGAAGAATAAAATCTGACTTTAAGAATCCTGCCTTATCTCCTTACCTGCATTAAGCAACAAAAACAAGCTAGTGGAAAAATGTTTCTTAAGCTTGGAGATTCACTAGCTGGTTCCTATCTCTTTAATCAAACACATGTATTGAAGTACAAAGATTGATTGGGGGGTCATGACAGTTAAAAGATAAAAAAGGGGGGAATCGTGTAGCTACGAAGGCACTGTCCATCACAGAGGTGTATTTTCATATCTGCTGTGTGAGGCATATTGAAAGGGTTACACCACAGGTTGCCTATCAGAGTTGATACCTGATGTACACGTCTCACCCCTTTTTGGTTGCCTCTTTCCCCCACGTTTGAGCGTTCTCTCTCATTGGCTCCCCACCCCCGTTTTTAATTCCTTTCCCTGACTTGCATCAGTACACAGCTCACAACAGCTTGTTTCCTTCACGCACATGTTTTCAGGCTAGCTGCATGCGCTGCAAAATGTATTTGAAAATGATGCCCAGAGACATCGCAGAATCTGCTCTTGAGTGTGAATGAAGGAATGATAAGCAAAGCAATGATTGGCTGCTGGTGTTGGGCCTCTGAATGGGACTGAACTTTTGCTTCAGCACAGGCACCCTCCAATATTGAAACACTGGCATGCAGTTTTTTAAAAACCACTACCCAAATCTGCCCTTTATGGAAAAAACTGTTCATGTTTTGAGCAAGAGGCTATCCATGAGACAAAAAAAAACCTGTTCACATTTCGAGCAAGAAGCTATCTTGCAAATTCATTCTGCAGTGTTTTGGGGGGAAATTGTGAAAAACTAGTTTAGGAAAGAGTTGGGGGAAATGAGGACAACCAGGATGGCACAGGGATGTTAACGGAGGTGTCTGGACACAAGGGAAAAAAACAAACCCTGATAAAATAGGGGAATGAAAATGGAATGTTAGGGCAATCTGGAAAATGTCTTTGTGCTGGGTCTGCTTCCTCCTAATGTACCTAACTTACTGAATGATACCTAGAATAAAATTTTATTTTTTGGTACTTTATGTAATGATTCTAACTTGTTCTAAATCATCATTTTGCTAGATGGAGGCAGAAGAAGGCGATTCTAAACAGGTAACAGTTGATTTTGACCAGCTTCCTCCCAACTATCACAATGAATCTGACACAGATACAAAACTTGGAAACAAAACTGTACATATTCACCAGGAAATCAGTAAGGTAGGCGCTGCCTTTTGTATATAATATGTGTATGAGATCCAATTAGATTCTTGTAATGCCTTTTACATAGATCTGTTGTCAGAATTGTTTGGAAGGTTAAGCTAAGGAATTGTGCTGCCCACATCCTAATGTGGTAATGAAATCTTGTTCGCTCTGCTATCAGTGTGCTTATTTGCCACAGTGTTGCTTATTGCCTGTAAAGTATAACTAAGAGAGCATCATCTTGCGTATTAAGTTCCTTGGCCACTGATTGGCTTTGCTTCAGATGCCTTTCTATCAGGGTGTGTTGTGGCAGAAACTTGGGGCAGAGCCTTCCCAATGGTGGCATCACAGTTAAGAAACACCTGCCTCAGGAAAAGCAACCAAGCTACATTTTCATGTGCTTTAGATGGCCAGTGAAGTCTTTTGAATTTGCTTAGGTATTTTGGGTTCCAAGCATAACTTCTGTCAGCTGAGTACACATTTTTAATGCAGGCAGTACCACCACAATCCCATTCCATACATATGGTATCATTTAGGAGAAAAAACAATTCTTCAATTTCTGAAGTAGTAATAAATGGTAAAGGACTTGTAGCTCATCCAGCTCCTGATGGTATACCCTTTCCCCCTTCAGTTCTAGGTGTCATATGACTTCATGGCTTTTAGGAAGCTCATGCTGTACAGTTACTTTTATGGTTTATTTAGTGGGAATGAACTGTGTATAGAATGGTTGAGTGAAATGTGTGAACTGTACTAGTCTTTCAGTTCATATTGAAGTCTGTGAAATTAAAGCTCCTATAAAGATCACGTCCTTAGATTGCCACAGAGTGTTTTTTAACCGTTTAATTGTTGATTGATGTTTTGAATCTTCCTGTTGCTTCTCTGTGGGGGAAGAACTTCAGCAAGTCTTTACATGCTGGATGTGTTGTGCCTATTTGCATACCTGTCCAGACTTCCTTATAAAAGCTTTCTTGTTGGAAGAAATATCTTTTTCAAAGCCGCAACTAAGTGCTGTTTCTGTATCTAAAGGACTAAAAAATATTACTGCATTTTTAGACAAAAATGAAGCAAAAGGACTTTAAAAACTTGATCTAACATACTGTATTTCTTTGTACTATTAGGCAACTGATAATAGAACGGGATCTGCTAGTTATTCTGAAACTGTTATTACATCAGTACAAGAAGGGGAGAGTAAGAGGTATCATGTAAGTAGCCTACTTTTGGAAACTGAAATGAGATACAAGTAACTTATTCTGCAAAGATGTCAGATGTAGTCATACTACATAAAGCTTATCTATAATGTACATAATATGCTCATTAAAAGTGTAGATTATATTTCAATCCCATTTGTTGTAATTAGGCTTGCCAAGTCCCCCCGGGGGGACTTGCCCCAGAGGCCCGTTCCCTGCCCCAGAGGCCCGTTCCCCGCCGTCGGCAGATCAGGCCCCAGGGGGAGCCCCACCCCGACGTGCATGTCACCCGGAAGTGACGCGGGCACGCTGGGGGCGGGGCCACGGTCATCCGAGAAAAAACTCTTTGGTTTTCCCTTGGATGGTCGTGGCCCCGCCCCCAGCATGCCCGGCGTCGTCACATCACTTCCCGACTTGGCAACCCTAGTTGTAATCGTTCATATTATGAACTTCCTGTGCCATGATACACCTTATGCTGGAGGTACTTTTGAGGCACTGGTTTCTTCAGTAATGTCGACCATGACTGCAAGCCAGTGTTTCAGATAATTTCATTCTTTAAGCAATAAGTGGTGTTTAAAATATTGGGAAGTTTGTAAGTAGGAGAATGTGTTCAAACTCTCAGTCTTTATTAAACAGAAATGCTTATTGAGATTCTACATCTATTATGTAGAATATTTCTCCTGAACGTTCACTATAGATGCATGCAATGGCTTGTTTGTCTGCATGTATCTTCCTAGCATTGGACTTGGCAGTCCATTTAAAGGCTGTTTTTTATAGCTAAACCCCAGTAAAGGGAAAAACTAGTTGGTAAGTGCTGTAAATATTTTCTGTTTTAAATAAATAAGTTAGTGGAAACACAGCTTTGTGCCTTAGTATTGTGGAAGAATATTCTTCACACTGCATCTTGATAGCAGTTCAAATGATATCCTGCAGGCCTCCAAATAGAAATATCTGTTTCAAGTCCCTAGAACAGGAACTGGGCTTTTTGCCAGTACTGACACCGAAGTCCAGTTCTTGGAAGGCGCTGCATTGTTGAGAGGCGCCATTTACATACTCAAACTAAGTTTTCCTTTCTCAGATTTCATCTGGGATTGGTCGTCTCTAACATAGATGTCAGGCTTTCATCCAAAAGTTTTACGTCAGTTCACAGCTCGAGTTCAGACCCAGGATAAATGGTGCATGTCCAGTTATATGTGCCTTGCTTTTTCTCTGGTTCCAAGTTTGACTTCTATAAATTATGTATAATTTAATGTGAAAGCATCATACATATATACATTCTAACTGCAGCAGAAATGATTTATTAAAGAAACTTTTAAAAATGGCTTGGTTTCCTGGAAGTGCCATCTCTTACCTCTCTCATTACTGTTTATGGATGTTTGTTGTTTATATTTCCTAGAGGTGTTTCAGATGTAATAACAAACTATGGCCTAGTGCAATCCCAAAATACCTAGCTGCCTCTGGGGAGGTGGAAGAAGCAGCACTCTTTCACACAGCAGTATCCCTTGGTTTGCCGTTATCTCTCCCAAACCTTAAAGCCTATGAATTAAAACATAATGCAACCAAATGAAAATTTCATTTTGATTTTAATTTAGGGGCAACTTCATGTGTTCAGTTCATTAAAGTTAACCGTCTAGCCACCTGGAGTTCTGTGTGTATGTGTGTACACATATGTTACAGGGCTCTTTTTGTAGAAAAAGCCCAGCAGGAACTCATTAGCATAATAGACCACACCCCCAGCAGCACAGTTCATTAGCATATTAGGCCACACCCCATGTCTTCCCTTGACTTGCCCAGGTGCCCCACGGCTGAGGGATGCCTGGCAAGCCAGCCCTTAAATGCCTCCCCGATCATTCCAGCCCCCCCCTGGCCCACCTGCTTCGGAGTCGCTGGGGGGGTCGCTCTCCAGGCCTTCCCTCTGTAGCCACGCGCACAGAGGTTTTAGCTGTAGTTGGCGTGGCCAACTCTGAAGCCAGCCGGAACACCATTCCTGTGCGTCCCTGCCCAAAAACAGCCCTGCATATGTATATATGGAATGTTCACCCAACCGACAAACCTGGGGGTGATCTTTCTGTGGATTGGAAGGGGGTTTTAGGAACAGAAGAAATGCAGGCAAACCCCAAGTTCTGTACACAGTGTGATAGTATATACATGGGCATCTATATCAAGATAATGGTGCTTTGTCAGAGATTCAAAAATTTGGGTTGGTCTCTGGTATCCAGGCACAATCTGTACCTGTAACAAACCTTCCCACGGGTTCTCAGCCCCCCCCCTTCCCATTCATATTATCCCCTACTTCCAGGTAGTTCAGGGAAGCTGGGGTTTGTCCTCGTCACACTGTGCTTGAAGAGGACACTCCCCCCCCCCTTTTTTCCCAAACCTTTAAGGCACAGCAAGAGATCAAGCTTGGGAGAAATGCTCTTATCAATTGAAAATAAATGTTCTTGGTAGCAGTGAGCTGCTGAGTGTGTTTCTGACCCTTTGTGCCTTGGAACAAAGAAGAACATCAGTTCCTGGCATCCACTACTCTAAAACAATTTGGTTTGCAGTCCATGTCATAGAGAGAGTGCACAAACTGCTAAAGAAAGGTTAATCTTTATTTTGATAATGCTGATAGTTGATTGCAGCGCTTAGGATGGATTTTTTTTTTTTGCTTGGTGAGAGGAGGATTTCCAGTGTATTACTTTCTCATAATATGTTGCCATTGGCTTGGAAAGCAAAAGTATTATACATCCTTTCACATTTGAGGCTCACAGTCCTTAGTTTTTGATTGGACAGCCAAGAACATATAGTTGAAGAGCTTCCAAAAACTGGATCTTCCTCGATTGCTACCAGCTGTCTTGATGGTACTGGCCTTCACTGTTGTATACTAATTGGTCAGAAAGATGCCAGTAATATTTTTATAGTGTTAATGTTTCCTGTTGAAAGCTAGGATGCCAAACCAAAAAAACCCCCAGTGTCGAAGACATTAGTTTTTCTTTCCCACTGCCTACAGCTTTGGTTTTGATTGCTCAGTTTTTCCTATTATATGCAAGTATTATGATGACATCTCAGTGCCAATATCCATGTTATTGTAAGCAATGTTACTTCTATTAATATCTGGGAGATGTTACTGTGATATCTTTAGAAAACAAAGTTTGTGCATCAGCAGGAGTCACTGCTGACAGCAGTAATTGAACCACCTTTCCTCTTTAAATCTGCTGCTACGTACTAAGCAAGGTAAACACTATCGTACATGCTCCTGTTCTTAGAGTTAAAATTGGTAATCATGCTATTTAAACAAAACCATTCTACTGCTTACCCATTCATATTTTTTAGTATTTAGAAATAGAAAGAATTAAACCCAAAAAAATTGAGTTTGTTTATATATTTATTTTGATATTTTAAATCTTGCCCCTCCCTCAGGGCGGGTAACAACATAGCCAGGGCTATTTTTGGGCAGGAACACACAGGAACGGAGTTCCGGCTGGCTTCCAAGTTGGCCACCCCCAGCAGGAACATATTAGCATAATAGGCCACACCCAACAGCAGAAACTCATTAGGATTGGTTACATTCGGGGTGTGTGGCCTAACATGCAAAGGAGTTCCTGCTACAAAAAAACCCTGGGTTTGGACAACAAACAGGGTAAACAGAATAAGAAGCAAAAAGTAGGTTTGGCTGGATGAGCACACTTCTGGTAACATGGGGGGTGTGGCCTAATATGCCAATGAGTTTCTGCTGTTGGGTGTGGCCTATTATGCTAATGAGTTCCTGCTGGGCTTTTTCTACCAAAAAAAGCCCTGAACATAGCAATAAAATAACAATAACAAAACCACAATTTCAATATAATCCAGCTAAAAAACTCAGCACACAACTAACGCTTTTGGCATAAAAAATCAGTAATGTTGATGGTAGAGTCCACCAAAATTACATTAGTGGAATGCCTGGTGGAATAATTCTGTCTTATGTGGAACACAGACAAGTCCTGCAGGGCACGAGCCTCCTCAGACAAAGCATTTCACCATGTTGGGGCCATGATGGAAAAGTCCCTCACGTCACACTCAAACAGGTGAATTGTGGGCCAAGCACTACCATCAGCCCATATGTGGCACAACAAAAATACCGCAGGAGGGGTCATAAATTGGAAGCTAGAATACTAGCATTAGGATTCAAGTAGTTGGTGCCAGGAGCCAATGTAATGAGTCTCTGAAGACAGCTCACCTTTGAGACTGAAACTTGACTGAGGTCCAATGTCTAAAGAGTCACTACCATGGCGCCTGCTGGCACCATTCCTGGTACCTGCCAGGTGTTTTTTAGAAAGTCCATGGGGCCAGATGAGGCTTTTGCCCAGCAAGACTTCTGGTTGGCCACTGGAGATGTGATTGACCTTGCAGATGTTTAAGAGTGTTGCTTTGGTAGCAGCTGCCACCACAGCACAAGGATCTTCACTTTGTGGCTGAAAGTAAGAGGTGGCATTTTGTGGCAGCCATTTTGTGGTTGTGCCCCTCCCCACTGTGTCAAAAGCACACGCAAAAAGATTGGGGGCCTCTGGTCTAAAGAACTTAAGAACAGTCATTCTGGATCAAACTAGTGGTCCACATAATCCAGCATCATGTTGCCAGCAGTGGCCAGTTGGGAGCCACAGGGAAGCCCACAAACTGGGCGTACTAACAACAGCCATCACCTGATGACTGTTCTCCAGCATCTGACAGTTGGAGACATTCTGACTCTGAAAATGGAAGTCCCATTCAGCTATCATTTTTATTTATTTTTGGAATTTAGATTAATCATTTACATTAACCATGGGTAACAGCCAGTGATAGGCCTGTCCTATGTACGTTTGTCCAGCTTCCTTTTGAATACATTAAACTCAGAGACCACTGTTGTAGTTTATGACCTTGCATGGACTGTCATGATATTATAGGAGAAGGATAAAAGTTTATATCTCTCCACACCATGCAATCCCAAAGAAGGGCAATGCCAAGGAATGTTCAAACTATCGCACAATTGCACTCATTTCATGTGCTAACAAGGTCAT